ATATTAACTAGTACATACACTGATCAATCATCAATTATATTTATATAAGTATTCCCTAATGCGTGCATTGTCTTTGAACCTATCATATCTCAAACAAATTGAAGATGCATTATAAGACTGAGGCACAAGCAACAAAAGAGGAGTTTTATGCAGCAGCAAGGGCCTATACCGTAGAGGAATTCAATATGCATATGTCTCAAATGATGAAGTTGAATTCGAATGTCGTAACGTATCTAGATAAAATTGGCGTTCACAAGTGGGCACGAGTTCACTGCCTCAATAATAGATACTTTACCATGACATCTAATGCTGCTGAATCAATAATTGCTGCCATTTGATTTGTTCGTGACCTACCAATAACAACACTACTAGAGGCTCTTAGGGACATGCAACAGAGATGGAATGTGGCAAACAATGATGAAGCCAAAGGCACATTTACTACTCTTGCAAAGAAGCCACATAGTATGTTGGAAACTAATTACAAAATAGCAGTAAGATGTTCTGTAAGTATTAATGGTTTTTTTTTTTGGGTTTTTGTATTTTTATTTTTTTGGGGACTTATTACCTGACATACACCAAAAAATATACTTCAAATATACTAAAATGTGTAACAGGTGCAGAAAGCAAGTGACAAATTGTATAAAGTGATAGCTGACGGTAAAGACTTTATAGTGGACACAGAGTCAAAGTCATGCACATTCCATCGCTTTCAAGTTGATGAGCTGTCGTGCCCGCACGCTATACGTGTTATAAAGTCACTCCACCGGGGTCCGATTCCATTCTGTTCTGTGTACTTCCTAAACTCTACAATGTTGGAAACTTATGAGGATGCTGTTATACCAATTGAAGGAAACATAGCATTCACGAGTGAAGCACAATCTGACCGCACATTGATAAGTGCCCCAAATGCACGAGTTAGGCCAGGGCGAACACGCAAGTAGCAGGTAAATTCAGGATGGGAGCATAGGTCAAAAAATAGGTGCAGCAAGTGTAATGAGAAAGGGCACAATGTGAAAACTTGTAGGAATCCGAAAAGATGAGAGTCCAATATTTGTTATGTATAATTTGAATCGTTATTAATTCATTATTCTAGAGATTATATTTTGGGTTTATTTTCTTTTCATTTTCCCCACTTGTAGGTTTTTCGTAGCTTATTTGGTCCAATTCTGTGGTTTTGTGTTCTTCTCTTTAGTTTCTATTTGTGCGTCTTTTCGCCATGTTTGCTTCGTGTTTTCTTTTGTGTTTGTGTTTTCCGTAGGTAGGTTGTGCCGGTCGAGGATGAGACTGTTTGAGCAGAAGCCGTGATGTTGAGAACACCGGTTGCAGAGCCCAGAAAGCTGAAGGAAGGACCGAAAAAATAGACTAGAAATGCACGCAGAATTTCTCACGACTCGCGAATCGAGTCGCGACTCGCGAGATTTACAGAGCCGAAAGGAGAAGTTCGCGAGCACAAGTCGCGACTCGCGAGACAAAGTCGGGACTCGCTAGATGGAGTCGCGACTCGCGAGACATGTCGAGATTTTCCCCAGAATTGAAGATATTTGACGACGCGCGACTTGCGAGATGTCGCGACTCGCGACCTGGAAAAACGTTAAGTCGCGACTCGCGACTTGACCGATGCAAATTTCGAGGCACGGATTTTTACATCAGAATGAGGACCTAGGGATCATTCATTGACTTGGAGACTTGTTTTTACGCTTTTTCTCTTTATAGAACTCATTCCTCTCATTGCTTTTACACTTTAGATTTGTTTTGAAGATTGAAAAACTCATTTTTCTTGCTTTGGATTTGGATGCTGTTGGATTTGACATTGGATTATTTCACATTAATCATAAGTTCCTCTTTACTCAATTGTTTATTGATGATGATGGCTTGGGTTAATATGAATTGTGATGTTGAATTCGTTATGAGTAGCTAAATCCATATGCTAGGGATATGGGATGATTGATTAGGTTCGTTGTATGATTGTTTGCTTTTGGTTGTTCATATCTATGCGAGTTGTGTGAATTCTAGGGTTAGTTGACTGATCACCATTCTAGCCTAGCTAATCAACATGTAGAACCGAGAGGGGAGACGTTGGTCTATTTAGGCTCGTTTAGGATAGACTTGTTCAGAGACGTATTGTCTATGTGTTGCTGAAATTGATAGTTTATCATTTACATTCACTCTCTTGTTACGAAGAGTTATTGAGAGTGAACCTCTGAACGAGAAACGATTCAATTCCTTTAACTGAGCAATTGATTGCCTGGTAATTGTGTCAGAACCGAAAACATTTATCCTCGATTCCCTAGCCCTTTTATCATTGAGTGAACTAGTTTGCTATTTAAATTGCTTTTCAGTTAGTTTAAAATCACTAGCTGATAATTGAAACCAAAAACCATTGAAATAGAGTGTTTAGGATATTGTCTTCTCTTTTTCGTGGTCGAATAATCGTACAATTGAATCCGACTAACCTTCCTTGCGATACGACCCGGGGAACGAATCTTTCGATTCTACTCCGGTAAAAATATTCACAATAGCTGAACTGAAGAGGGCTACTCGGAAAACGTGGACAGTGGCCAAATTGAAGCTTAGCTCGGAAAAACGGACGTCAACAACTAGCGAACGGACGTGGCTGCTTGTGACGGGCCTGCTACTGACTACTCCGGCGACGAACGGTGGGGTCGACGACGACAAGAGACTGCTCGGAGAGGATGGACGGTCGCCTAAAACAATGGCGAGAAAAGAAATTCAGGTAGCGAGATTTTTTTTTTTATACGAGCACAGAGTTGCGAAGTGAGCAGAGAGAGAGAGAGGATGGAAAATTTGAACTTCTGCGAATGAAGTGAAAAGAAGGACCTTGGCCGGGATTATACAGGTAAGGGGATGAACATGCGAGAGAAACACACGACCAAATCGTTACCAAATTTTGAACCACGATGATAAGGGGTGACTCGGTTGCTGCTATAAGAGAAGGAGGGAACCGATTCTTAATCCTTTGGGCCAAAGCAATTAACTGAAACTTGGGCTTAAATAAAAACAAGGCATTGGGCCAAGGTATGCATACTATTGGGCCTTAAGATTTTACTCATTTGGGTTGAAAATATGACTTCGGGGCCGAATGAAATATGGTGCGACAATAAGAATTCCCGATCGATTTGATACAAATAAATAAAATCGGAATATATATATATATTTATATATTAATAAACAAATGACAATTAGACAAACAAAATAAAAATAATTATAAATTTACAATAATTTATAATCCCAAATATTCATAAACAACCGGGCATTAAATTTCCTCTCTTTTTGAGCCTTACAATAAAATTCTGATTTTTAAATTTTCTCGTACCGTATTCCTCCTTGCCTATTTTATTTTTTGACACATTAAATCCACATGACTAAAGAAATTATTTTAATGACATTGAAAACGCTCTAGAGTCTAAAGACCACGTCTAAGAGTTTGCTTAAGTACTTGTTTGTTACAACCCCTGAGATGAGAGCCCAAAAATATCAACTGTTTTGGAAAAGTAAAACGATTTTCCTAATTGTCAAATTGCAGGCATAACTTGGACATCAACAGTTTGCGCAAGCACTTGTTTACATAAGAAAGATCTCATACTACCAACAAGTAATTAGTGGCCACAAAAAGAGTTGGCCAGAGCTGGCAGAAGAATCCATAACTTTCAGGGGAACATATTTGTAATAAAGTCATTTTTCTATGGGTTTTTAGCTCCACTGAGTTCTGGGTCTGTTTGGTAGTAAACAATATCACCATCGTCACTCACATAATGATCCTTCTTCATGCTCCTCCAAAGGACTCCCAGCAAGTACAATGGAAGGGGGCCTGATTTTTGTGGCTCTCGGTAGTACTTCCCTAGAACAGGTTTAGCTGCTTCAGTCTGCAAAATACAAGTCATTTGGACAATCAAGGCTCGAGTTATCAGTTTGATATTATTCTATGAAACTTGTCGAGTTAAAATTGCAACTTACAGCTTCTATCAAGTGGTAGTGAGGGATTTGTGGGAAGAGGTGGTGAATCACATGTGTTCCAATGTCGTGGTGGATGTTATTAATCCAACCATAATCACGATCAAGGGTCGTAAGCCCACCTCTAAGATAACTCCATTCCTATTTCGCAAAAAAAAACAAAGTTAAAACAACAAAGCATTCTGAAAAATTACTTCAAAAGGCATTGAAGAAAAGCGAGCAATTGCAATACTCTGAAAGGGGAAAAGGAAGAACCTGATTCTTAGGTAATTTTAGCTTATATTACAATAATGTCCTTTATCTACAAATAATCTTTACTCGATTAGCCATTTACTTATTTAAAAAAAAAAAAGTAAATAAATAGTTAATTCTCATTTTCAGTTCTTCAAAATTCATGAATTCATACAATCACAAGAGTTGAGTTTTACCTTCCCACGGTACCAAGGGAGTTTATCTTCATGCCCATGGTGATGCAAGTATGTGACCAAGTCGAGCCACATTACAAAACCCTGCAGGCGAAAATTCGAATTCATAATTTTTTTACCAAGAAATTAAAAACTCAGAACAAATGGATACTAAAAGCTTGTTTAACATTACTAACCAAATAAGGTATGCCATATAGTTTTATCACTTGGCCAAGACCCATTACAAAAGATAAACCAGCAAGCAATGCCACCATTGCTGTCCAACAAACAGCCGATGTAATTACATCTTTTCTCTCATTTGGAACGAACAAGTCACTATCTGGGTGGTAATGAGATCCCGTTTTCCCGGGGCTTCTACTCCACTGTGATTAGTTACAATACATATTAGTGAACTGCCAGCTGGAATTCGCCTCAATACAGAGCAGAACAATTATATTTCAGACCTACAAATATACACCTCATTGATTTCTCATTTTGTTGACACAATTTTATTTCAAGATCGGCCACAATTTATTTCTTTTTATTGTATATTGGGATGATCTCTATCAAACAAAGCAAAATTTGGTATTCAAAGCATAAACGAGATGGATCATGGATGAACATAAGAACAGAAAAAATGAGGGTGATTTGAAAGTTTAGAATATAATTAAGTATTTCTCAGTACCTATATTAAATCCAAAAGCAGGTTTATGTAGTCAGGCTTTGTTATAAAGAAGGAAGAAACTTACCAGATAGATGGGATATGCCAGTAGAGGAAAAGGCAATGTGAACCTTAATTTCTTGGTGACATTATCTAAACTCTTGAAAATCTTCTCAGATAACTGAAATTTAAAATAGGAACAAAGAGAAGCAGCATCAATTTCTGTCATTTTTTGCAGACAAGTTATCCATATTCAAGACTTGCTGCCAAGACTCCGACATAATATGCTAATACTAAGTAAGAAATGACTTACTGGGTGCCAAGATTCGTCATTCTCAACATGTCCATGGTTCTGATGATGTGTCCTATGGCTAATTCTCCTGCATTCATTTTAACAAATCAAAAAGATGTTCCGATTCCTTTAGCCTCGAGATATGAAAACTCTACGCTCTACGGGTAAGGTAACTACTGAAAATTTACCATCCATGGTAAGGGACAAGAATCGAAGAGTGTAGAAGATGACCGACTACGCTATTCAATTTGGGGTTGTTTGAAAAGCTTCCATGCCCACTGCATAATTCAATAGCATAATAATTAAGCCAGCCATAAATACTTAACTACAATCCAAGTATATCCCAGATAATATTATGGGAAAGAACGAATAAAATACCAGTCATGGCCAAGAACAAAGAGAGCCCAGAACATAGTCCCCTGAGCAAACCAATACAAAGGCCAAACAACCCAACTGTTGAGATAAGCAGCCACAGCAGCCAATCCGAAAACAATAGCCACATCCCTCATAACATAGCTCATAGACCGCCATGGATCTTTTATCCAACAGTGCTTAGGAATAGCTGCCTTAATATCAGACAGCTTAAACGGAGGTGGTGCCCCAGGGTCAAAATACTCTTCTCCGACGACCTCTTCATTCCTCCCTTCTTCGACTTGCTCTACTCTCAAAGGGGCACTCACTTTCAAACCCCATCTCCTGTTTCTGTCAATCCCAATTGATAAACTTGAGAAAGAATTAGTCCCCTGAGTTGTTGTCGAGAATCTCAGATTTTGGGGGTTGAAATTGAATGAAGATTGGAGATGGGCAGTTGTTGGTTTGGGGTAAATTCTTGGGAGCGGCCTCAAGCCACAATCCGATAGAACCCAACTGGCCATTAAACAAGAAATGAGGCAAAATCTCGGCCCAGGACGAAAAGTATTAATTAGCCAAGACTTCACCTTTTTTGAAGCTCCTCTCTTACGAGGAGTGAGAGACAAAACGTGTGGACTTGAGGGTTCCCAGAATCTTAAATGTATCTGTGTAATTGGGTCGAAAAAGCGAGAAGATAATACTACGATGGTTTATTTCCACAATTTTGCATCTTTAATACAGTACGTTTTAGCTGTTGGTCGGTTTATATATGCAGAGGTACCGACCATATTCTTCCTCAACAGTTGCCCAACGTGATTTTTGTGCTCTAATTTTAGGTTCAAAGTTGACAAAAGTGTTCCAAGCTTTTTTACATGGTTGAGTGAGGCTTTGATTTTGTCGAGCCCCACGACAAAAAGACTGGACTTTGGTGAATTTTTACTGGCGACTTGGTCGGTGAGCTTGATCATAGGCAAGTTAGACTTTAGGGAGATGGTACCGTCAAGAGCGAAACCAGAAAATTAGTTGAGAGGGGCCAAAAGACACAATATAATGGGTTCAGAATCGTTACCGAAATGATAACATTTCGGTAACCGATACACATAAGGCGGTTCGGTTTATTTTCTCTTTAGTTTGGTTCGATTCTGTTCGGTTTCATGTTTTCGATCAAAAATACCAGCCCTAACTTGGACAATAAAAAAAAGTTGAATTCTTTTATATGGGCCTATTAAAATTGTAGAATGAAAATCTCAAAATTAATATTAAAATAAAAGAAATGTTGAATTGTTAATTGATAATTGTGGACAGTTGATATGGTGAGTGACGTTTGAAAATAAAAAATCAGGGGTGCAAAATAAATTTAAAGAGGGAGGGAATGGTGCAAATTAATTTTTTTTATATCAATATTAAAAGAAATTAAAATTTGAGTGGAGCAATTGCCCCCTATTACTAAGTGTATATTCGCCCCTGGCTACGGTCCGGTTATGGAACCATTCTGTTGGGGTTAATAACCGTTAGATCAACTATTTCTGACGGTTACATGATGATCTAACGGTTACAAACCTCAACGAAATAAATTCCTAACGGGACATTAACATTTCCCGTTAGTTTAATCACATTTGTAGTCCATAATTAAGAAATTCATTGAAAAATAAATAAAAAGTAAATCAGTTATTAATATACTTGAACAATAAAATACATTACTATTTATTTCAAATGACATCAATGTAACGCCCCGCTTTATTTAAAAGAGTTTACCAAATTTATTTATAAAAATCAGAGTTATTTTTTCGCAAAATCACAATTTAAAACATTAATAATTAACGGACGCTACTTAACTACCAAATAATTACACAAATAAGAAACAAATAGATAGAACCTACACATGAATAAACTAATAGTCATAAAACTAATCCAACTTATTCATAATATCAAAACAACCAAATAGTTCAACATGGTTCATCGGTTCATCCAACATGTTCATAAAAACTAAAACGGAAGCATAATCATCCGAAAGTAAAACAAGTAGTTCAATACGAACAATCATAGGCGGAAGCAATAAACACAAAAATAAGCAACATCGAATGACCACCACTCGATCGTCTTCTCACCGCCGCCGCCAGCCATGCTCAACCTAAAGAAAGGAGGAGAAGACAAAAAGGAACAACAATGAGGGTGAGCAAAACCATCATGCTCACCATTATCGCACTGTATATCTCGCATAAAGATTCAAAACCATAAATAAAGTATGCATAGAATCTGTTTGTCCCATTTTTGTTGCATTTTTCGTTGTCTTTTTGTCTTTCTTTTTCCCCCATATTGAGTCTTTTCTTTAGGTTTTATTCGTTTTTGTAGTTTATTGCGTGTTTTTATCTATTTCAGTTTTTTTCTTGTGTTTCTGTGTGTTTTTCCGTTTTTCTTTGTTTATGGTGTGTAGGTCTGAAGCTTCAAGAGGACATAATTTTGGGCAAAAGCTTATTGTGCAAGCATAATTAAATAGAGGAGTTCGTTGGCAACACACAAGAAAAAGCATAATCGAATTCCGAGTCCAAACGAACCCAAAGGAGCCCAAACAGTGAAATCGTGCAAAGCTGCCCAGGCCATAGCGGCGCTATGGCCCCAGATAGCGGCGTTACATAGCAAAGCGATGGGCAGAGGCTCGAGCATTTCATCCCAAAGCGCCGCTATGGTCGTAGCGACGCTATGACCCCCTGCAAGTCCCAGAATATTATAAAAAGCCCCAAAACTCGTTTTTTCTCCATTCTTTTCACTTCCAGCTTGAAGGGGGAGGAACCCTAGGTCCAAAAATCTCCTCCCCCCTTCACTTCCCTTCATATTCTTCTTCTCTTCTCTTTTCTTTTCTCCATTTTTCTTCTTTTCATTATTATCAAGGGTTTAGCTTGTATTTTGAATTCAACTGGAACTTGGATTGATTGTAAGTATTCATTTCTCTTATTTGATTCATGAATAATGATTATTTGAGAGGATTGATTATGATTGTTGAATTTAATATTCGTAGCTAAATCCGATTGCTAGGGATAGGGGATGATTGTTTTGTTTGAATTGTACTTGTCGGGCTTCAATTCGTTCATACTTATGTGAGTTGTTTTAATTAGGAATTGATATATTCTTGCTTGATTGATTGATATAATCGAAGAGTGACACTTCGATCTTGCAATTGGTAACAATTGAATGTTGATTAGTTGAGTTAGGGTTTTGTTGATTCTATGTGATTAGTCAGTTAATACCCTTCTAATTGAATTAGCGACTTTTTGAACCGAAAGGGGAGAAGTCGTAGACTTAGGCTCACATGAGGTAGAAGATGTCGTAATTGACTAATCTACGTGTTTTAGATTGAAATACGCACTTGTCAATGACCCGTCTCTTGTTACGAAAAGTTATTGGGATTGGGATAATTGGCCTGTGTCGTATGCTCGACTTGTTCGTCCATGTTCAATTCCTTGTTACGAAGAGTTATTGGGAGCGAACCGCTAGATGTCTAAGCAAGAGTGTCAATCTTAAATCGAACAATTGATTGCCCAGTTTTGCTAGAACTTGAATTAATTATCCCCGATTCCCTAGCTTCTTTTTCATTGTTTCGTTTATCTTCTTAGGTAGGTTATTGCTTTTTATTATTTTTTAGTTGATAATTATTCATCCATCCTTATTCGATTAGAGTGTTTAGGTTTGTTTTCCTTTTATGTGTTATCGATATCAGAACTAAATTCCGAACAGCCTTCCTCGTGAGATCGACCTGGGGAACGAATCTTTAGATTCGCTACTCGGTAAAAAGAATAATTTGTACACAACAAATTTGGCGCCGTTGCCGGGGAAGGCAAGTAGGACATTTGGTCTTGGTATTAATTTTATTTTCTGTGTTTCTCTTATTTTCTTGATTTTCGTATTTTTGTTCTCTCTTTTGTGCATATGTGTTTTTCTTTTTATCTTTCTTGTTTCTGTTTTCTTTTTCTTGTCTTTTCGTGGCTACGCGTGGTTGTTCTGTTTTGGTGTGCAGGTAGTATGAGTTACAACCGTGTGCTCCCCTATTCGCACACCCAATCTTGGGTCCACGAGCCAAGCTACCATACCGGGTACCACGTTCAATCTTATCCCTACTCTTCCGAGCAGTACTGGGACCCCCTCCCGGTCGAGCAATATTATGAGTCCCATGCGTTCAACGAGAAGCTCGACCGTATCTATGATTTCGCAATATCCCGGTTAGCTCAGGAAAAAGAGACAACAACCCGATGTGCCCAATTGAACCAGCCACCTCCATTCTACGATTCTTGGGACAACGGCCAAATTTTGGTCGTATCCTTACGAGCAGTCATGTGAGTCCCTCGAGGATTCCTCAGAATATAACGCCAAGCTCGACCAAGTCCTCACTCTTTTGGCATCCCAAGCAGCCCGTAAGAGTAATCTTGAGTCCAGGATCGAGAACCTAGTGGAGCGCGTGCAAGCCTTAGAGGACCGAGTAACCAATGTCACTCCCGAGCCCACCGCTCAAGGCGAACCTACACATAGAGACGAGTCTCGGGAGGCTGCTTTGTCGTTCGATGAGAAGCTCGACCTCATCCTTGCTCACATATCTGCCCAGTCCACTCGACATGTGGAGATTGAGCTCGGGTGTGCTCGACTGAGCACACAAATGGAGATTCTTGCAGCACATACCAACTCAATCGAGGCAAAAGTCGACTACCCCCACCTCATGCTTGATACTCAAGCCCGCACGATGAAGCAAATGTGTGAGGCCGAAGAAGATGATGATGAGCTTGATGATATTTCAGAGGAGGAGAGCCACGGGCTTGACTCTCAAGTCCCTCCTCCCACTTTCGAGTTGGAGCATCCGTCTTCGGGGCCTTTACACTGTGATACGAAGAGGGGAGCATTCAGTTCGACTTGCTCCACAGATGAGCTTATATTTTTGGAGGTTGACGATAGAGCTCGGGTGGGAAAAGCTCTACGTCTAGAGTTGGGGATTGCTCGTACCCGAGACCTCTTTATCCAGAACATGACCACCCGGATCCACTATGCCCGCCTTCTAGCCACACTGCCCGGGCTACCACTTCACGGAAATACGAAGGCGTGGCATGACCCTCACTTCTTCTTAGATCCCGGTTGAGTTCTTTTCAGGTTTCGTCAAGCTAATGACGTTAAACAAGCGCTTCTTGGGAGGCAACCCAAGAAATTTACTGCTTTCTAGATATTTTTCTTTTTGCTCTTTTAGTTTTATATTAATAAACGGAGTTGGGAGTTCTTTTGTGTTTTTCCCGACAGGAACTATTTGCGAGCTTGAGCAAGAGAAATAACGAGGTCCGAGGCTGAGCATAGGGGAGTGACTTGCACATGCATGCTATTTCTCCTCGAGACACTTCGGTTTGCACACCCTTTTCTTATTTTCTCTTTTTGAGTTGTTTCTTTCTTTTGTCTTTTCTTTTGAGTTTGTGTCTTGTGTTAGCTGCTAGTTTGGTTCATTATATGAAAATGTTGGGTCCTATTACGTGACTTCCTGTTTTGTGTTGAAGCA